ACACCGATAGAACCCTCTTGACTTCCAATTTCAAAAACTGTATAACACTTGCCACTTCACTTAATATTTAATATTAGAATTCAATCCAAAACAGAGCTAAAAATCCTGCTGCTTCTATTCTATTCTAATTACACAAATATAAACAAATATTACAAAAATTTACACAAATACAGTAGAGCGTCGATTATCCGACTCAATTGGGGACTCAGGTTGGTCGGATAACCGAAAAGAAGGAAAAAAAATACATTATTAGTGTAGTATATTAGGATATTAGTATATCCCATGTAATTAGTTTATTAGTATATCGCTATTAACCAACTTCGCATTGAATTTCATCGATGTTTAGCCTAACAAATTTTTTTTTTAAATAATAAATGTCACTATTGTATCGTTAAAAATTATTTTAAAATTATTTTATTGCTCACGAAACAAACCACCACTCATAATTAGAAAATTAAGTCTCGTTTAAATACTGGCCTCCCTTCAACGGTCGAGCCATTGATGCCAGCTAAAACACGCAAAAATTTAACAAAAAGAATATTAAAGTAGCGAAGACATAGCCAAATATTGTAGCGCCACATCACTAGCAGATATTTGAAATTTGCTGACTAGAACGGTCGGTTAACCGACGTGACAGTTAATCTGGGGTTGGATAATCGATGCTCTACTGTATAAACAAATGTTTATATTTGTGTAAATTTGTTTCATTTTCCCTGTCAGAGTAAACACTCCACTAACATGGACAACTTTCACACTACTATTAGTCTGAGTTAGTGGGTGTTTATATTATGTCTTCTACTTTTCAAAATATTACATTTTAAATGTTGACTATTTTCTTGTTTCAGTCTGCCCAAGCCAGAAAGTTTGTAGTACAGATATCCCTCATATAAAATAGTAGTTACGTTCCAAAAAAGTGCCCATGTTATGCAAATCTGTGCTATATGAAACAAAGGGTTAATGCAAAACATGGGGTTAGGTTCCAGAAGTTCGCAAAAGTATACTATTCTTTTTCATTACCAAGAGAAATATGTTTACTAAAGCAATCAATAATTTATTTCCAATCAATCATTAATTAACAATTGCAATTAAAAGTACTGTATTATGCATTAATATTAAATTTAGTTAAATGAGTGCATTATCTTTTTACGAAGTAACGTCATTTCAGCTTTTTTGCAGATCTTGATCAGAAGTATCAGCAACGTCTTTATTTATATTTTTACCATAAAAATTTTACGCATGACAAAATAAAAATATGCTGTTAAACAGTTTTCATTAAACCTGACAAAAAGCTCAAAACAATTTGAAAACATCAATATTCTAAAATCCATGTGCAAATTTGAGATAAAACACATGCTTGCTTGAAAAAAAATATAGAATAAAGGAGTTTGCACTTAAAAGTTGTGAAATTTTGTATGTATTATTTCCCAAATTATCTGTGTTAGAGTGAGACTGGAAACTATTTTATACGGGAGATATCCCCAATTTTCAAATTGTGTTAGAACGAAACCATGTTGTAGAAGTTTGTGTTGTATGAGATTTACCTATACTGTGAAGTGCTAGCTTTCACAGGTTTAGTAAAACATGTAGTGTACAGTTATTATTTTGAAATTTTGCAATTTCCAATTTGGTTATTTGTAATGTAAATGTTTTATGGTGAAATAGATTTTAAAAAATTATTCTTACTCTACGTTAATTCCAAATTGTATTTTATTTTTTTCAGTATTTAGTTTTTTCCAAACCAGAAAAGATGCCTCTATGTGTATAAATGTAAGAAAAGAAACTTAAAAGTAGTTTTTATGAGTTTTTAGAGTTTTTATGAGTTCTTTAACCAATTTTGTTACTTTTCTTAAGTTCAGTTTCTTCTTTTATTTTTGTTTTAGGATTGTTTCTTGTTCTGTTTGACATTTAAATCAAAATTAAATTTAAAAATTTTGTTTAGTAATATTTTTATTTAAGAAAAAAAAACACACAACATTCATAGACATCTTGCTTCACACAGAATTTGTAAAGAAAACCTTTGGAATATTCCGAGTCTTGTAGGATGAACTATAAGTGTACAGTACATATTATCAATACTTTTGTGATGTTGATATTTTTTAAAAGATAATGTTGACTGCTTGTTTAAAAAATATTATTGTCTAAATTTTAAATGATGATACTAAATAATGATTGTAGGAGATCATATTGTAAGAATATTTTTTAAGAAAAATAACAAATATTTAAATTTTGTAGGGTAATGAAATTTAAGGTTTGAACATTAATCATTGACTCTACTTTAAAAGGAAACTTGTTTGCTATGATAATTTTATTATTTTTCAATTGATGTAATAATATAAAATAAATAAATTTGTACTTTAATCAATTCTTTTTTTTTTATAGATAATGAAATGATAGCAGTAGATGTAGAGGTTTTAGTTTAGGACTAAACCACTTTTCAAAATCCTGATGTAGGGTTTAAGCTGTCACTAGTTCTTTTGCTAAAATGCTACAAAAATTTAGATATAGTGACAACTTTCTTGGCACATTTTGATAAAAGTTAAAGTTTTCCAAATCATTTTAACCACTAGTTCTAGTTCTAGTGTAAAACCAGTGTTAAGTCAAACAAGCATAAATTCCATTATACTTGTTTGGTCTACTTGTCATTATACAATGAAAAGGATGTCCTTAGGCTCTTTTGATCCGTAATGATAATCTGGGGCCCTTTGGTCAGAGAGTAAGGTCAGTGAGCTGGACATCTTTGATTGGACAATGCTTCTGGTACGATTTCTGATGGAGCACTGCTGCATAGGTCAAGCTAGTCTTTTTTTTGCCTTGAATCTATTAATCTATTTCTATCTATTCTATATATATTAAAAGCAAAATGTTCCATCACTGCTGCATGTAATGATGTAAATCTAAAAATTAATTTGATTTACACTTTTAAAATCATTTAAAAGCTGTTTTGAAATTTTCAAAGCATTGTTTTAATTTTTGATTGATTTGATTTTAATTACTTTCTGGCTCTGTTACATACAACAGAGGGAAAGTGTGGTGATCTATCAAAAAAGACTCCAAGATTTTTATATTTTTGGACTCATGATAAATTCTGTTTAAAAGGTTACAACGTAAACAAAATTAAACAGAAAATAATTCTATTGAATTAATTATTACTGGATGTAGGAAATTAGTTATAAAATAAAAATGATAAATAATAATTATTTTACACTTTATGAACTGTTCCAATTATGGAAACTAAATGTCTACAATCTAATTATGGGAGTAAAGGGGTAAATTTCTCAATATTTAAAGCTTTAAGAAGTAAAGCAAAGATAATGACAAAAGATAAAATAAAAATGTGATTCTTTTATTCTTCAATGAGGAAATGAGATAGATATCACAAGTCAATACAACAGAAAAAGGAATGGATTTTTTTATGGGTTATTTTATTGATTTTCTTTGTAAAATTCAGCAACTTTTAGATTATAGTTTTCATTTATCTGCTTTTGTATAAAAATCAGCTGAGCTAACATGCATTTGTGTATTTATTTTAACAATAAAACATTCGTCTATAGTGTAATTTGATGATTATAAAGCCTGCAATTAAGAATAATTTTCTCTACAGAGAAATGAAAATAGACAAAACACATTTTCTAAATAATACTATTTTAATTATAACTTTAAGAAAAATCATTTGTTTCACAATAAATAATCTCACCAACATTACAAATTAATTTACAATACTAACAAGTAGAAATTTCATCAAATTTGATAACACCAAATATCTTCTACAAACTTCAAATTTAATAAATTAATTTCATTCAATAATTATTTGATCCAGAGTTCAATTTTAAATTCTAGATGTTTTAACAAAGTTTTGTTTTTATCACATTTAGATGCACGTTTTGAAATATTGCCTAAGACACTGTGCCTAGCAGTATACAATAAACAGTTTTTATTGCAGAATTGTATATACTTTTAGATGATAAAATTTCATAAATTTAAAAAACTAGAAATCCTTTTTTTGGGTTTTTGTTTTAAATTATTTTGAACATTATACAGAATCATATTGTATTATTTAGATTATTATTAGTATAGAAACAAAGAAATATCAAAGGAAATTGTATTATCAGTATCAAATCTTTAAAACAGTTTTAACAAAATACAATAGTCAAATTTACATTAAAACAAAAAAAAAAACTCAAGTATATTTAATTAAGTCATACATAAAGCAATTAAGTTTTTGAAAAGATTATATTTGATTGAACAACTCTGATTATCCATTCTACAATAAAAATTTCTAACAGTGAACAATTGTGCTTTGGATTTTGATTTTTGGTTAATTTTATTTAACTGAAAATGCTTACATTAATAAAGCTGACAAAGTTTTGTTACAATATTACAGATTGTCAAAATCAATATTTGTCATTGCACAGATATAATAATAATAATTTTTTTCTTATTTTTACATACTCAAATACACTGACACATTTATAATATGTTCTGTGCATTCTGTTTACATTACAGTGCTCTAATAGCATTTTTTTTTTTATCTACACACAAAGCTACTTTAATATTGTACCAAATCATAACATAGTATATAGTAAGTAATTCATTGACCTTTTATTAATAGTAATGGTTGAATAAAATAAATTTTATCTACTAATAATACATACACTTTACAATGGAATGCTTCAAATTACACTCATAAAATTTTTATACAATTAGGTATAAATAAGACTTGTAAAACAACTTGGTATAATGACAAGAATAATAACTGCAAAAATTATCATAAAAACTGTGTAATAATTACACAATTTTAAAATTACTTACATACAAAAATTTTCATATATGATAGCAGTAGATGTAGAGGTTTTAGTTTAGGACTAANATTTTTATAGCAAATTTATGAACTAATCAATGTAAAATTTTTTTAATAAATACAAAAATTTTATAATTTAAAAATAAGAACTTTGATTAATATCAAAACAATCTTTATTTTTATAAATTCTGTATATATAAAAAATAAGGAAGATAATTTTACATTTAAATATTAAAAATGAATAAATATTTAAATGCTATTTTTACAATCAAGATTTGTTGTCTTGATTGCGAAATTTATAAAATAAGTTTTTCTAAATATTGTTTATATGTGAAATGATTTTAAACAATAGCTATTTAATGAAATTTATACAGATATAAATTTAAAATATTTATTATAATATTAATGTAAATTACTTTATACATAAACAAAGCATCTAACTTTATGCATAGTATTGATGTAAGTTTTGATAATTATTAAGAAGTGTATGTACATTTAAACACAATTCTATACTATTTTAACGAGTACAATCCAAATCCAAATTGTAGAAGTTGTTTTAATATGACAAATAACACAACATAATGGAAAATTTAAATTTTATCAGAAACTGAAAATCAATTTTAAGAGATGTCCCGTATTACAATATTATACTAGATAAAATATATTTTCTATATAATGTTCTATAATCATGACATTAGATATTGTTTATAGCTTCTATTTTTATGTACACAAAAAATTCTGTTTTCAAGATAAAGGTGATTGCAATTCCATCTTTATCTTAAAATATATGTTATATCAAGTCTTAATTTCTAATAAAAAAATCTTTCTTTTTAATGTTTCTTTTGAATTATGATTAGGAATCAATCAATGAAGACAATAGATGAGCAAAATATACAGTTAGGCAATATTTACTATACATCTGTAGCACATGGCTTATCTTCCATGTTAACCAAAAGTACTTTTTCAATTTTCATCTTTAACCATTCGAGAACTTTAATATCACAACTTTGTATGTATCTTTCATTTCCTGTAAAGACTGCAAAAGAATCGTCCTGCTCGGAAAAAAGAAAATAAGAAATTGCTAATTTCAGTTATTGTAGAATCAACACTCTCTTGTGCTATTATTTAATTTATATATATAAAAATTAAAATTTAAAATTTAAGCATGTAGGCAATTGATACAATAATATTACTATTCAAATTTTTCCTTTCCAGATTGGAATAAATTATCTTTATTACTATTGACAGGTGTTTAGAGTGCTAAATTATATCCATTACTCATACTAACCAAGTAATTAATATCAAATTATTATTGTATAAAGTTAATTTACATGTCTATTGCAAATGTAAAAATAGTTTTAAAGATTTAAACTTACCTGTCTTATTTTTATGACAAGTTTTTTCCCTGATAAAATTGGAACTGACATAATGTCATCTATTCGTACAACCCATTCTATGTCCCAACCTCCCCAAAATCGACACTTTTCAAGTAAAAACACATGCCTAGAGAACATATGAATTTATATTATTAATAATTAATTTTTTAGATATAACAAATTTAGTTTGCAAAACAGTTCACAATTAAAATAATAAATATCTGAATAACATGAGCAAGCTCCAACACAGTAGACTCAATTTGTTAATTAATTCTAATGAAAATGACATTATTAATTGCTAATGAATGAAAAATAATGCATGTTTGTTTCATATATACAGTATTTTATGAATTTAATTTAATTTGTTGTTGTTATGTTTTAAAGTAATGTTCATTCCTCAGCATTTTTTTTATATTGAGACAATTATTTATTTTGCTGATTTAATAAAATGTAATCTTATAATAAATTTTAATTACAGGTAAATGTCATCAAGTGGCTATTTGGCCTCCTGAAAAACAGTTTCAAAATGCACAACTCTCCTCTCAAAATCTCTGTTGTAAGTTTCTAATAGGAATGGAATTTTACCAACTGACATAATTTTACTTAAATTTAAATAATAATAAATATTGATAATATGTCATCACCACAAGTAAAATAAGTAATAATTCTTAAATAATAACAAGCATGTGTTTGCTTTAGAAACTTTCTAACAGGATAGGAGCAGTTACACAAATTATTACTGATCAAAATGAGAGGAAGCAGCAAAATATAAAAATTTTGCTAATTTCTTTCTAATAATAAAATGTTTTGCGATTACATTTTAATTATGAATCAATTGACTATGTATTTGTATTTAAGATTTTATTGGGTTAATGCAAAAGTTCCTGGAATTTTCTAGAATCAAAATTGTTCTTTTACATATCACACAAGAAACTTCTAGATGCCATCTGTCATGATTGCGCCTTTAATACCCTTCAAGTGAAAAGATATTCTGTATAGCAGTACCAACTTTTTAAATAGGTCAAGCTTGCACACTTATACTTTATGATGATCAGTTTGATGTAAAAGCAGCTGAATTTTATTGCTGTACTATGCAATCATTTGGAAAAAATTTTGTCTCTGAATCTACAATCAATTCAGTAAATTTAAAGCTGAGCAATATGAAGGTTGAAGATAAGCAATGTTCGGGAAGGCTGCCTGTCTCATTGGATGATGAGCTACGGCAGACTTGAAAGAAATGAGCAAGACACTTACAAGGGAAGGTCACTTCAGGATGAGACTTGGTATATAGGTAGTACTCCTTTTAGTAGTACTCCTTCAACCCTCAAAACAAGAAAGTGCAATGGTCAGCCAATTTTGAGAAAAAGACCTTTAAAAATTCAAGCTCATCTTATGTACTAATAAGTTTTGCTAGGTCGGCAGCATTATTGGTTACCACCAAGTTGTCCAGGATTCAAATCTCGTTCTCGATTATTATTTTTTCTTTCTAAAAATTTTTTAAAATAAGTTTGTTATTTTTATCTGTCTAAAAAATTTTTAAAATAAGTATTTTTAATATATAAATATTAATCGAGAACGAGATTTGAACCCTGAACGACTTGGCAGTAGTCAAGAACACTACTGACTGAGCTGCTCAAGCAGCAGCTGCCAACCTTGTAAAACTTATTAGTACTTAAGCTAAGCTTGAATTTTTAAAGTTCTTTTTTTCAAAATTGGCTGGCCATTGCACTTTCTTGTTTTGAGGGTTGAACACCCTAAAGGAGTACTACCTACATACCAAGTCTCATCCCGAAGTGACTTTCCCAGGTTGTGCCCAGTCCACAGGTGAACATTGTGTGTTTTCTTCATGACAATGCAAGCTTTATATATAAGGTTGACGAACAATGCATCATCTGATTACCATCTCTTCTGCTTCATGAAACACCTCTTGGGTGGAAAGCAGTTCACTGATAGCGAGATGAAAATTGCCATTACATTCAAGCATCTTCTGTCAATTGGACAAATCACCAATTCCTGCTGAATAAAACTTAATTGCACTTCATTCTTCAAGTCAAAACAACTTATTTTTTGTTTTTTATATAAATGTTGTACTATAAAACTCCAGAAACTTTTGCATCCACCCAATAGTTCACAGCTAAGATGAATAAAAATAATAACTATTTTGTTTCTTTTTATGTACCATTTATACACCAACACTTACTTATCTGTTACTAAAGCAATATCACATCTTTCTTCTTTGCTCAAAGGTGCATGAGCCCAATATATATCACTTTCTGCATAGTGACCTTTGCTTAAAAAGAACAGAAGTCTGTACCCTGTAGCCTGATATGGCGAATACGGCTTTAAACCCTGATTAAATAAATGTAAAATATTAGAAACAGTTCAGATACAAATATATACTAAATATGTAATCATTTCATCATAATTGAGAATATACAGCATATCTATAATCTGGTTTGTGGACTATTACATTCCTGATGTAATGTAAAGATTGGCATTAACAATACAGAATTTTATTTCTTTAACTCTTGCAATTTAAAATATATAATATATTGAGCATCAGGATTTCTACTAGAATGTCAAGGAATACAGTAAGTGCAGTTAAGTTCCAGGTGTACCGATTAATAATGCAGATTTTCTTCAATAGATATCAAATTACATATGTTGATATACACTAAGTAGCCAAAAAATTAGACACACCTCTTATTTGTAAGTAAACCATTCCGACAGTGACATAGAGTGACGTAACAACACAGAGTTGCTTATATAAGGAATGCTCAGCTTCAGATGACATAGTTATTATCACAGAAGTCAATGTCAAAAGATAAAAGATTTAAGTGAGGGATGATTGTCTGTGCAAGAAGAGTTGGTGCCAGCATCTGTGAAACAACTTTTTTAGGATTCTCCCCCAACAGTATCTTGGGTGTTTAAAGAGTGGCAGTTGAGAAAAAAACTTCAAGTGATAATGACAATTCTGGTCTAAAAAGACTGATGAACAAGAGAGGTGAAAGGCACACAACAATAGGACAAATTACAGCTAAATTCAATGCAAGTGCATCATATAAAGCATATCCCAATGCACAACAAGACAGACTTTGCGAAGGATGGGCTTTAGCAGCAGGAGACCATCAAGACGGTGCCTTTCATATAACAGAAAAATAGGAAAAGGCACTTGTTACGGGCCCAGGAATGACAAAACTGGTCACTTGAGGACTGGAAAAAAGCAGCCAGGTCTGATGAATCTTGTTTCACCATGCAAATGGCACAAATTCATAGACCCTCCCCCTCTTGCCAAATGATAACTCTTCAGGCTGGTGGCAGTGGAATTATGGTGTGGGGAATGTTTTCTTGGAGTACACTGGGTCCATTGATATTTGTGGACACATCTCTGAATAACACAGCTTACCTCAACATTGTTACTGTGAGGGTCGGACCGAATAAAATAAAATTAAACAAAGAAACCTTCTATTTTTCCCCTCTTTTGAAATCTCGTTGAAATCTTACAACAAAAGGATGAACACATTTCCTTCCCTGAAGCCACTTCCTTTCTCTCCGGAACTCTAGAATGAATCACAGGAAACTTATTTTTTTGCGATTGGCAAAAAGAGGATAATGTGACTTGAGATATAAAAGAGGGGGTGATGAAAGAAAAAAAGAGTTCATCATTGCCACCCAGGAATTGAAGGCCGGATAAAAAGGTTCCACTAACCCTTGACAAATCTTCAACTGAAGATGGCCACCCTGTCCAGATCTGTCACGCTGTTCAATACCTACAATCCTAGAGGTATGATAACGAATATTGTAAACTCTCTCTTGGCGATAGAATCTTGATGTTATCTAAGTTATTGTCCAATAAAATTTTGTTTTATTGTTAAATGGTGTCTTTTACTCGAGTATTGCCCACGCCTTACCAATGACCCCCTCTCACCTCCTTCACTTGACCTGACAAAAAGAAGCTCGATCCTTGGGGATAGGGAAAAATAGACAAGCCATCCTTTGATCAGTAGGCAGGCTTAACCAGCCTGTAATGCGACCCGAAAAAGGTACTACTCCGTCCTACCCACAAATTGGTTTTTCAGGAGAGATAATGGGTTTCTGAAACTGAAGCAGAACAGGAAACTATCCCTCCTTATGCTCTATGAAGTCAAGGGTCAATTCCCGACCAGTTCCTGGGTTATGCCGCAGCCTGGTTGTAGCCGTATACCTCATTTTATCTCTCCCGCCGCTAGTCAGTCATCCTCCCCTTAAATCTTTAAATAATTAGTACATATATTGATAGCAAATTAATATATTCCAATAGTAGTAGTAGTACCCGAACTAACCTATTTCTAATCCATCCTCCAAATGTTAGAGGGCTTCACTGTTATATATGTTATTTATTGCATTTTTCGCAGTTCCAAAAAATTAGAAAACTTGAATATGTTGAAATGTTTTGAAAAATTTTGGAAAAAATGCTAGTAAAAAAACTGTCACCGGGCGTCTCACACACGCCATGCGATTTGGGAAGTGATTTATTTTTCTTATTTCTACACTCCATTGACAAACTTTTCTCCTATTGTTGGAGTCAAGTTTTCCGTTTTATCTTAGCAAGTAAGTTTATAATTCTATGTATTCTGGAGAATAATCTGTAATTTTTAGCATATAATGGAAAAATAACATGGTATTTACAATATGATCCTTATTTGTAGAGTTCATTGATAGTCTTTACTGTTTGTGAGACGTTTTCCATCTTATCTTAGCAAGTAAGTTTATAATTCTATGTATTCTGGAGAATATTCTGGAGATATTCTGTAATTTTTAGCATATAACGGAAAAATAACATGGTTTTTACAATATGATCCTTATTTGTAGAGTTCATTGAGTCTTTATTGTTTGTGAGACGTTTTCCATCTTATCTTAGCAAGTAAGTTTATAATTCTATTTATTCTGGTGAATATTCTGTAATTTTTAGCGTATAACAGAAAAATAAGAAGGTTTTTTAGAACATTTTCCTTATTTGTAGAATGTCTGATAGCGAGGATAGTTATATGGCGCTCTCTGAGAGCGGATCCGAGTCTTACGTCCCAAGCATAGATGATTCTAGCAGCTCGGACGACTCAGGAAGAGATGCTGCTAGATCGTGGTGTGATGCTAACACCAGCAGTTTTCCAACGCCTCCTCCACGGTTTCCATTCACTGGGTCTCCTGGGAGTCGGTTTTCTAGAATTCAAGTAACTGAACCATTGGATTACTTTCGTTTATTTTTTGATAACGAGTTGGTGGACGAAATTACAACAGAAACCAATAGATACGCTGTAACGAAACCGCAGACATCCAGGAGGCAGTGGATTCCTGTTTGCATAGAGGAAATGTTTATCTTTTTAGTGTAATATTATTGCAAGGCATAATTCATAAACTGGATGAGAGGATGTATTAGACCACGAACGAAACACTTTCCACTCCAATTTTTCGAAGATTAATGTCAAGAAATCGTTTTTTGGAAATAAAACAAAATTTGCATTTTAGTAATAATCAAAATTATAATCCGCGAACTCATCCAAACCCTAAACTGAATAAAATTTGGCCAATAGTTCAAAATTTTCGCGTCTGTATGTTTCAGAAAGGGATATAGTGGTGGATGAGAGTTTGATGCTGTTCAAAGGACGTCTTTCGTGGAGACAATACATGCCTCTCAAACGGTCTCGTTTTGGTGTGAAATTCTACATGCTATGTGAGTCCTCATCTGGCTATCTGTATAATTTTATAATATATACTGGAAAGAACACAGTTTTCAACGAGAAATATACAGATATGCCTGTAACATCAAAAATAGTGTTATCTTTAGCGGACTCGTTGTTAGGCAAGGGCTATTGTCTAACAACAGATAATTTTTATTCTTCCTCACATTTAGCTGATTATCTGGTGACAGTCCAAACGGATTTCTTCGGAACTGTGCGGACGACCAGACAACAGTTCCGGCTGAGATTAGAAATAAGAAATTGAAAAAGGGAGAAACAGTGGCGATGCAGAGAGGTAAAGTGATGATTCTGAAGTGGCAAGACAAAAGAGCCGTCACTTTACTCTCTACGGTCCACAACCCAACAATGGTAACCAAACAAACTCATGCCGGTAAAATAGTTGTAAAGCCACAGGTTGTTATCGACTATAACGACACAATAGGAGGTGTTGACGTTTTAGATCAGCATCTTCGAGATTATCCAGTGGCAAGAAAAAGAGGGAAGAAACTTTACAAAAAAGTATTTTTTCATTTGTTGGATATCTGTACATTCAATGCTTTTGTTTTGTATCAAAAAAATGGTGGCGTCATGGATCATCTGGAGTTTCGAATTAACGTTATAGAAAGAATTATAGAGGAGTATCACACCGAAACGAGGGTTACAAAACAAGGTCAGCCGAGAATTCCAGGTCCACTTAGACTTATGGAAAGACATTTCCCGGACCTTCTTCCGGCGACCGACAGAAAAAAAGCTCCCACTAGACGCTGTGCCGTATGCAAAACTAAGCATGACGGTGCAGGAAAAAAAATAAGAAAGGAGACGAGGTACTTTGCACAGGTACAAAGGTACATTGCAAAGCTTGCAATGTACCTTTGTGTGCTGCACCATGTTTTCAGATGTATCACACAATGGAAAAATTTAAAAAAAATGTATTCTTATTTTTTAAATAGAATTTCATGTAAAAATTTTATATGAATATTTGATCATTACATTAAATTTATTTTCTTGATACCTTTCTTATTTTTAACTTTAAATCATATATAAATATATATTTTTATTAATAATTATTTATTTTTAATTTTTATTCACTTATTTTATTATTGTAATCATTTAAAATTGTTTTTATACCAATAAATTTATATTCATTTTATGTTTTCTCATGTTTTTGTTTCTAAATTATTTTTAAAGCTAACCGACGAATGGCAGCTTTCCTGCACGCTAGCGAAGCACGCGGGAAAGCCACCGTTGCAGGCTGCAGGTAGCCCCTGTAAAGTTGGCTATCCAGAGGGAAAGCTGCCATTAAGGAACCAATTTTTGCGAAATTTGAAAAATCGAAAAAAACCACTTTTTTCAATTGAAATGAAGAATTTTTTTATGTAATAAAAATGAACGGGCATTCAAATAAGACTTTTTTTTTATTGAAATAGTCGTTAAGGGGTTAATAGAAGTGTTTCCCTGTTCCAGGGGTAAGAAACCTAACCCAGGAGACGAACCTAAAAACCTGAGCAACATTCCGAAACCTAAACACTGAATCAGCAAAGTTAAGATGAGTTATCTTCAAATTATTGTTATTCTCCTCAGTATCAGGTGTACCACATTGGAACCTCTCCCAGAACAATGGAATTCACTAAAGGAGTAATTCTCATTCACCAAGGGAATTTCCTAATGACCGTAAGTCACTGGACTTTAGTTACCGATCTCACCTTCGAGCACTTGGAATGACAAGTCCAATTCATTTCACAATCTCTTTCTTATTTGGAAGCTATAATTCAGCATCAAGAACATTATCTCCCAAACAATGGCACCCTGCAACTTAAATGGAATCTCCCTACCAAAGAGGCTTTGAGCTGATAAAAGGTTCTTTCCTTAATTACCAATGAGTATATTGGGAGCTTGCAGCACTAGTCACCCTGTAAGGAACCAAGTCTGAGCTTTATTTTTATTTTACTTTTATTTTGCTTTCATTATATTTTGTTTGGGGCTTATGTTTATTTAAGACGAAGGTTTCCTCACCATTCACCTTAGTAACTTAAAAATAGAAGAAAAACCAACTCACCGACGAAAGAAAAGCGCCGTAGAAAAACTCGCGCACACTTGTGCTTCCCAAGCGGAAAAAGTAAGTCCGTACCGAGAAAAAGGGGGGGGGAAGACCCCACAACCCAGTTAGGAATCGCTAAACCTTAAAATAATAAAGCATCCCGATAATTGTTAAAAAGAATAATGTAAAAGGTTAGCGAAGTATTGTCGGAAAATAATCTGCCAGATAAACGGGAAAAATTTAATGTTACAGATAATTATGTAAATGAGGAGAGTGAGCTCATTCAGAATTGTGACGTCACCTCACACTATAAAGCCTCTAACTCAAGTGAAAACGAACGAGGTGAATTCCTGATAGCAACGAGCTTATAGCAGTGAACGAGAGAGAGGTGTCCGATAGGATTTTGAAGTTATTCGATTTGTGGATCGACGATTATAGAAAGTCTTGAGAGTTTGAGGAAATAGGTTCCTAGTATATTGAGGTGACGATTAGGATCTTTAATTTATAAGAATTATTGTTTATAAGTTAATTCTTTGATTTTGTCGAATTCCAAAGGGGAATAGAATTAAGTTAGAAATAGATTGATTTGAGTTTGTCGGATTGATTCTTGTTGAATTTCATTGAATAAATTATTGTTTGATTTTTACTAAATACTGTATATAGAAGTTTAATTAAATATTTGATTTTGTTATTGACAAACTTTGTCATTATTTAATTCGGTGCATGCTTAAAGTCCAGGCCTGGCACACTAACGCGAATCCGCGTAAAGTACCCGTTAGGGAACGGCTATTTCCGGCACACAGTAGTGTCGATAATCGTTGGAAAGTCGGAAAAATAATATAGTACTTTACAACCCTAAGTACACCTCATAAAAGAAGGAGAGGCTTAATAGATCTAGGGAGAAAAGCTCTTAAATTCCTCTTTGGAACTGCTAAGTCAGAAGACATTGAAGCTTTAAATGCCGAGATCTCCAAAATTAAACAGCGCAACGAAGGAATTATTCATTTTATGATCACAAACTACCCTACTTAACGATACCTTGAACATAAGTAGAAACAATTAACTTCAAATTTATGTATTGCTAAAACGACAAGAATCTTTTGGAGAAATCATGAACTCGTACCGTTATAATCTTGCTTTTGAGATTATCCTACAAACTGTCGAATTTTCCATCCAAGAACTACACCTCCAATTGGTAGAACTATGAGAAGCGATTGATGTTTTAGAACAGGGCCGATTAAGCACCTATTTCATATCTTGAGAAATTATGTAACGTATTCTGAGATATTCAAACCCAACTTCCAGAAGGTTACACAATGATTGAATCCTTACAGCAAGATACATTGTCTAAATACCACCAGTGGATCACCACCATTGCTGTAGCTTTACTTGGCAAATTGAGAATCTTCGCTAAGATTCCCTTTACTACCCTTAGTGGATACTTTGATATGTACAAAATAGTAAAATTCCCTACCTACCTTCCTACTTTAAAGACCTTTATTCAGGTCCAAACTAAATATCCTATAATCGCTCTGTCTATGGATAGACAATCCTATGTTATTACAGCGTCATGAGTTAACCACTTGTAAAACAGCAAACTTCTCTATATACTCATTGAACGTTCCCATACAACAAGCCCCACAACAGAGTTGTGAATATTTGCTCTTTAGCGGAAATGAGAACAAGGTCAAAGACCTTTGCATTCAACAAATCGTCGCAAAATATACCCCAATCTTTAAGAGAATAGATCGATAAGGAATTTGGATTTATTCCACTCCTACTCCTCTCACGTTAACTATTAGATGTCCCACTCGACATCAAAAATCTCCTTTCATATTCACAACCCATAAACTGAATAACACCGGAATGATTAATCTCCCGAACGCATGTACAGGCTATTTGCTTGGGATCATTCTTACATCACACTTCCAACAACAATCAACTTTACAACTTGAGATTGCGCAACAATTGGTCATTCCACCTATCGAACAAATTCTAAATCAAACCGAGATGCAACTGCTTCAGAAATGTCTCCTCGAGCCTCAAATGCAAGAAATGCTAAAAACAACCTCTGATTATGATATCAAAGTAGCAGACTGAGCTTTATCTGAGGTCCAATATGATCTCGATCACCTGCTACGGATGACAACCAAGTCATCTCCAACCCATTATTCTCTGTTTGTAATGAAGATACTTACTGGTTGTCTTGGTGCTACCATATTGGCAGTTTGCCTTATTTGTATTGTCTGCTATTATTTACGACATAGGAGAACTTGTCTCGCTACCTGACAATGAAAGCAGGATTGTCTTCCTGCGTTCATTGAAGAAAATCCCTGAAGAAATCCCTCTC